TTTTTTTTTTTTTTTTTTTTTTTTTTTTTAACACAGTGTTAACAATAAAGGTTTTCCAATCTCATGAAGCCCCTCAGTTCTGTCATACATACAGCGAGTTCACTGTGAGAAGATCTATGAAATAAACACTTCTGTCCCCCAAACATGGCTGGTAAATTCTCACATGGAAACAGTTCTAAGAATGACTATTAGAACAGTTCTTCTTCGAGAAGTTTGTTTCTTGCATACAGTTCAGTAATTTCCACTGGCTGAAGTTTGTTTTTCTTGTTTACAGCCATGGAGCCAAACGAGGTATGGGAGAGTTAGCCCATTTCTATTCTCGGCTTGTGCTCCAAATAGAATTATTAAACTCAGCTTCAGCTGGATGCTATTCTGGCTCTTCTAATCAAACAGAATGCTTAACGAAGCTCCGAGCACAGCATCTGATTTTCATGATATGTTAGCCCAAGAGGTCCCAATTCAATTTTCAGATTTTGGGTTGAACTGGCAGATGGACAGTATTGGGGAGAAGAGACAAGTAAACCCAGACAACCTCTCTTGCCATCACAAGTAAAACCCCCATACATCTCCACACCTGCAGAAGTGGAATAAAGCTAATTTTAAAGTCCCTGAAGGCCAGTTCTACCAAGGAAGTTTACAACAATATGTCACCAGACAATATGGAACAGAGCCACCTTTTAAAAAGATCAAGAGAAAAATCTTCTCAAAAAGATCTTCAAGACAAGCAAGAATTCACGAATGTCAAAAAAAAGTCCACCCCAACACAGTAACTGCTTAGTTTCCCACCACAAACTCCTCCTCACACACACAAACCAAACCCACGCACATGCAACTTGTTGCATCTTAACCCGATAAGGGTTAACTCCTCGTTGACCTGTACACAAAGCAGCACGGTAGCCAGGTACTTTGTTCAACACTTCGTGTAGCGAGATGATTAGTCACCAGCAGAACAAGCTAGCCTGATCCAAAAAATGATTAAGATATGAAGCTGTGGGTGGATCCTCTTTGAAAGACCACCACAGGTCTTTGAAAACTCCACTGCAAGAGGAAGAAAGGATGTTTAAAGAGAAATGCCAAAACAAAACATTGAGAAGTCTCAGCTGGTGAGTGGAGAGAAAAGCAGAGGATGGAAATCCAGTTTATTAGGACAAGCTCTTTCCTGCCGCAGGATTGGTATTGCTTCTGATGTCAGCCAAAGCCAGGAACCTTAGTAAATAGGAAGCTTTTTTGGTGTATTTGTATACTGAGATGAAGACAGGACAAAGGCAGTAGTAGCTGCATTAGAATAAAGAAAACAGATCCTATAAATGCCATAAAGATTTAGCAGGATGAGCTGGAGTTCAAGCTTCTGCAACCATAACTACCTGACCTGCTACAACCCTCAAGAGCAGACTCAGCTATGTGGTGTGTCCACTGGTCACAACAAAAGAGAGATGCAGGTATTCAGCACATTTGGCAGGTGTCGGGAAGAGGGGGTGTGTGGGTGTGTGACAATGACAACACTGTCTGACCCCACATCCTGCAAAAGAGGGTGCAACTCCAGATACAGAAGCCTCGCTCTGGACACCTACGTTCAACAAACATCCTGAGCCTGTATGCTTACCTCATCAGTCTGCCCTTGCTAGCTATTGCAAGCTTCTTTCCCACTCATTCTTCCTCCCACCACATAATCCCCCCACCAAGCTTCCACTTCTCACTCTCTCAGATTTCTCCATAATAAAACTCCCATGTCACTTCTTTGAGAGACAAAAGGTTAGTCCAGAAATTCAAGATCTTCCCAGTGGTCCTGAAACTGCTGTGACACAGTGGAAGACAGTCCTGCTCAAACAGCTCTGAGATGGGAGAAGAAATCCTAAGTCTACACTGAGCTGCCATATCCTATCTGAGGTAAAAACCTGCTTTTAATAAAAACCATAGGGGCAGTCCAAGCACTTTGGGAAAAGTAGATGTTTGGAGGACCAGAAGCCCCAGAGCTCCCAAATTCTGCAGGCCAGCAGCCAAGCCCTTCAAAGGAACACACTGAGGATTTCCACAGGTGTCCTCACCTCAGAGCTCAGAAGGCTCGTACCTTCATTTAGAATAAATACAGCAGATAAGAGATGCTTCAGGTGGGGTGGGGAGAGGAAACAAAGGATTTAAGGACAGTAATCATGACAGTAGCCAATGTTACCCTGCAGCACTCTGTCCTGCAGTTCTCACCTTAGACTCTAGCTTACTTTTCTTGCTTTCCATAGGAAAAGGTCTATAGTTAAAAATTTAAGTTATTTAAATAAAATTTGCCTTTAAAAAAATGGAAGAGAACATGCATGTGCAAGAACAGATGCTATGCTAAACTACCAACTCAAAATGCAGCAATTCTTCAAAAACCTCGAAGTGTCACAGGCAGTCCAGCACAAGGCATTTTTAAGTGCAAGATCAGGCAGGGTCTATTGAAATGCAGACCGCTTTCCTTGGCAAAGATTTTTAAGCCTTCCAAGGGGAAGTTCCCATCAGTAAAGTAGTACAGGATCACAGATACTGTGAGGAGACTGGAGTCACAGAGGAGTATTACTCAGGCAGTACAATCCAAGAATTCTCATTGCTAAGAATTAAGAATTTTTTTCCCCTCTTCAAATCTAATACATGCCTTCCCCACGTTTTTTACCTTGGATCTCTCAATGGGATCCAAGAACAGAATTTGCTGCTAATCAAGGTCCATTTCTAGCTCAGTTCTGTCCAATTCCTGTGTCCTGGGCCTCTGCCAGTATCTTGGATAACTTTGCAGTGCCAGGCAATGCTTTGGTTGTCCTATTAGCCCCTCCTCCCAGGGGAGAGGAGTCAGTTTTCAACCAACTTATTACCGCAGATTCAGGGCAGCATTTGTTATTAATACTGAATTTGGCAAAGGGTAAGAACACCCCACTTTCCATAACGCATTCCTCACACAGCAGAGCTAAGCCTGGAAATCCTGTTTAGCATATACAGAATGGTATGTCTTGACTGTGCTGGGTTTCTGAGCTTTTAATGAAGGCAAATTGAATTTACATCGCCAATCTAGATTTCAGAGATGCATTTCAGTCTTTCCGCATGATCAACAATCAAAGGGAGAAACCTCTGCTGTCTATACGGACCTGTGCTGCAAAGACGGACTTACCACAGACAGGCAAATACGGTTCTGAAGTCCTGACAGCAGGCCACAGGGGAAAACAGCACTGGAGAGAAAGTCTTAACAGGCTGGAGTTATCCACACAGGTAGGATCCATCGCCTCTCACTGCTGCAGGAAGAGAGGGAGGAGGAAGGTGGGAAGAGCAATGCACAGAGAAGTATCTTTATCCAAGGGATATCAATTGCAGAACAAGGCGGCAAGCTAGAGATCCAGCTCTCTTTCCACCTCCACATGCCCTCTCCCCACAAATGCAGCTGCCGCCACTTAACAGGATAAAAGGCGAATTGTTCAGCTTGCTGCTTTCACATCTAGGAGGGGAGTCTTTGCCAGGGAAAGGGCTGTCAGTTTTTCAGATGGACAAAGCAATGACAAACACACACCCCCCACACTGCTCTTTTTTGCGTATCTGAAAGGGGAAAAAGGAGAAGAAAAAAAAAAAAGGTCTCTGTAAACATTTTAAGAGGAGACATTTTTGATTTTTTTTTCTTAAGGGATAAAATAAGCCTTCCCTAGCCCCACCCTAAAAGCACTGGTTTTGGGGAGCACTGAAAACGGAGATTCAGAACTGCGCACTCCGGTCTCGGAAGAAGCCCTCAGCCACTTGTGCTTCTCTGAAAGTGACGGTAATGGAGTTTGCCGTGATGTCCGTCACTGTCACTTCGCTGGGGGGCACAGTGGGAATCCAAGGGAGACTGCCATCCACATCTGCTGCAGAAGGAGAGGCAGATAAGAGCATGTTAGAGAGAGAGGGTGAGGGAGAAGGAAGGAGGAAGAAGAGAGGGAAGGGAAGAATGGAAAAGGGGCCTCCTTTCTGACAAATGGTGGGTGAAATCAGCCTGTACTGGGTCTGCACATACAAGGCAAGAAAGAGCACGGGCAAGCCCTCCCCTCAGAGGCTAAGGGAAAATGGAGGATCACTGCAGGATATAATGGGAAAAGGAAAGAGTAGCAAAGGTGTCCAGATGCACACCAGCATCGGAGCAGCCTACACAGAGGTCAAAAGACCCTGTAACACCACCCAGCTCATCTAACCATCCACAATTCCCTGATACCTCTCACCCCATCTCAGCCCCTAATTTGGCTCTGTGTCAGCAAAGCTCACTCACCCAGGTGTGAGCTCATCTGCTTGTAAATGTCCTACCCTGCTGAAAAGTCAAAAAATCACAAACTCTTATACATGCTCTTCAGATACTCCTATGGGAGTCAAAGGGTTCCAAAATGGAGGGTCTTCCTTGTACTGCACCTGCAACACAGCCTGGGTGCTATTCTCTCAAAAATCCATCAATACTGCTTCATGGAGAGGCTGCTTCCCCTTTCTCATATCCTTCCTTTGCTCTCTGATAGCTCCATACAAGAAACGCAAGCATCCCTGTACTTTCTCACTGTAAGGATAATTATCAGTCCCTCCGTCACCCAAAGCCTCACTTCTCCCCAGCCCCTAGAGACAGCCACAAAAATACACAGAGAGAGGAAGGAAAACATACCACCTCCCTGTCACTATACCTGTACTATATACCTTGTTGTCCCAACCTGGGCAAGGAACAAGGGCCCCTTAAGAGTGTATTTCCCAGCTTCTGTCTCAAATATCTGGGGTGCCTACTTTCACCCCAGAAAAAGTCAAATCCCCCCTAACAATAACTGGAATTCCATGCAGCCCGTGTGTCAAGGGGAGAACGAAAACATTTCTGTAGGGCTGTTCACTCTTCCAATCCCCAAGTGCTTTAGAGCCCAGCACTTCTAGGCGGGAACAGCCCCACACATTTGCCCATTGCCAGGATGCAACACTGGGTTCCTCTGTGCTAGCCTTGTTGCTGCCCCTCTGGATTTTGGGCGCTGTTTGAGTCCCTCTCAGAAAGGAGGGGATAGCGTTGATTCTCAGAACACAGCCCTCTTCCCCCAAATCCCACCTAATCCAGACTGGCTAACAGCCACTCCTAGCAAGGAGTGACAGGATTCCCTTAGCTCCTACAAGCAGCACAAGCCCTGGTTTTCCACTCCTCAGGAAAGCTGTGCCTTCAGAAGCTGTAATAATGCAGGGATAGAGTTTCCCTGGTAACTCAGAGCAACACGCACATCCCACAGCCCTCCTGCACAAGATGCTGGTATCCCTCCTCAAAATGCCAAAAGTGCTTGGACGTCTCCCGTGCCTACACTCATGCTGCGTACTCAGTGGGATCAGGAAGGAGTTACCATCCTCACTTCATGTCTCTCATCCCCGTCTCACATAGCTCTATAGCAAGACTTCAGAGAGAACGTGGGGTGTGGGGAGGAAAGGAAAGGAGGGGGCAGAGGAACGTGCTGTGGGTTCCTAGTGGCATTCCTGTACGCTCCTCAGAGCAGCACTATGAGAGGAGTGCTGGTGTCCAAGCTTGTCCACTGCCAGCCGAGCTCCTTGTAGCAGAGCAGCAGGCTGAACACATGCAGGTATGTGGACAGAGGCAGAGTTCATCACTGTCACACCTGCATGTCAGCTCTGCTGGGAGAAAACTAGAAGAGGGGAGTAACTTGCAGTATCTTCCACATGTTTTCTAACACTGGGAGGGGCGTCACTGATATGAGACTACAGAGAGGCAACAGCACCAAAAAAGCAGATTATGACGTACTGTTCATCCAAACAAGAAAGTAACTTGCAGACAAAAGGGCCACAATGTGAACCAGCAAGAGCTGCTCTGAGGACCTGACCTAAACCACAATCCCAGGATGAGGCAAGCAAGGAGGAAGCATGCAGAGCATCCTTCACATGCCCCAGAACTTCACAGCCAAGGAGTGTCTGGCCTTACCTTCTTTGCTGGTGTGCTCCATGGCCTCCCAGTCCTCAGGGCCCTGCCTGGCCTCCAGGCCCACTGCATCATTCAGGAAGAACTCACGCCTGCAGTTTCGGCTCTCCAGGCTCGCCATGCGGGGGAACTTCTTCCTTGACAGTCGCAGGTACTTCTGGTTTTTGCGTTGCTTCCGGAGAGAGAATGGCAGGACCGCTCCCCCAGTCTTCTCTGAGAACTCTGCCTGCCCTGGCTTGGCCCCTGGCAGGCTACTGTCTCCTCCTCCAAACCTCCGTGCAAGAGAGAAACAGAGCTTCTCCTTTCCCTTGTGGGCACTCCTCAAGTCCATGCCATACAGCCGCTGCCAAGACATCAACGCAGCACAGGTCAGAGCAGAAATCTGATAATACAGTCAGGGGTCCCACCTGGGAGCCAGGAAACTATTCTTTGTTCAGTCCCTGAACATCTAGATGAGCTAGGATAAGTTGTGCTGCTTCTACAACACTGTTTGTCTCACCTCTTCAACTGCCATCTAAGCTCTTCCTAATATGTGCTTCCTAGGATTGGCTACTTTGCTTGGCAACAGTCAAAGCGTGCTGGAACTCCACTTCCAACCAGCGGCTACCTTTAACATGATGCAAAGTCCAAGCCCAACATGAAATTAAAAGAGCACGCAAACCAGGTAACCTGCAACCACCCAAGCCCAAAGTTTATAAAATCCTAGTTCAGAGAGCAAGAACTGTTGTTGGTTTGGTTTTTTTGTTTTGCTTTTTTAAAGACAAGTTAGCCAGCTCTTCAGCTAACAGGTTACAACTATCTGCCTACCCACTGATTTCATGTTGTTGTGATAGCTTGTTACCTCCAATTTTGTCCATGCAACAGCAAACGGACAGTTTCCACCTCCCTGTGAGCAGAGGAGCAGCACAGCAGCTAATGAGTTAGAAATACACAGAAGAGCAAGAGGCTACCTGCAGTAGGAGGCGCTTTGGTTTGGGGCCTCTTTTCCTGTACCCCGACGCACGGTCTCTCTCTTCCCTGTGAAAGAGGAACACAAATCAAACTGAATACTAAATACCACAGCATGAAGCTTAGTCGGGACTTCTACCTTTCGCAGCACAGCTCCCTCATTTCTTTCATTAAAACCCAATGGTGACCAGTGTGGACTTGGAAAACATCCCAGAATTGCTTCTTGTAGGAGTGAAAGCCTTGCAATAAGGGAATTTCTCTGATTCAGCTGATCAAGGATGGGTTAGAGGAACTTACCACCTCGCATCACTCCAGTCCAGCCCTGGACCTGATTAAAACCTGAGACTGACTGCTCTTTGGCTCAATGCTGCTTGTTCTTGGCCTCATTTCCTGAACAGTGCCAATCAGAGCTGCTTTAACCCTGCCTTGTCCGCCTCAGCCAACACCAGGATACAGAGATCAAGCCGGATTCGTTGCTATACATCTCATCTTTGATTGAAGTAGGGACAACAGGGGCACTTTATGCACACTACGAAATAAAGACACTATTTCCTTTTCCTGTGTCTGGGGAGAGAAAGAACATGCGCCCTTACTTTTCTTCATAAGCCACTACCAGGCGAGGGTCCAAGATATGATCCTCTGGCTCCCATGTGCTGTATCTGAAGAAAAACGTAAGGAATATAAAGTAAACAATACTTTAATGAAACATTCCCTCTGCAGGCCTGCTACCAGTGTGCTCCAGCCCTGGATACTGTCTTCACAAGTGTCAGTGGGGCCTGCCACAACATTGCGAGAGCTCTGAGGAATCCCAGCCATTCCCTCCCCAACTTCCCGCAGACACCACCTCTCCTTCCCAAAACAGGCAGGGCCAAATGTCAAGCAGCTCTTTGTAGAACAGGGAAGGCTTTCCTCCCCAGGGCCCCCTCCACGCTGTTTGCAAAGCCTGCGCAGGCACTTGCAAACTGATTTTAAGTCAATGCCTAAACAGGTCTCATCTGCAGCACTCCCTCAAATCCAACAAACCCCATGGAACAATGAGACGTGATTTGATACAGCTTTCTGAAAAATAGGTCTCTCTTAATTTAGAGTGCTCAAAGAGTAAGTATGCTTTCTCACCTGCATTATTAATTACCTCTAATCACTGGAGCTGAAAGTATTCATTTAAGAAGAGTTTAATTTTTCTCCACTGATGCCATTCGACTAAACATGTTTAGACCTGGGCCCTGAGGCAAGTTGATGGCGACTTTCCAACTATTCCTCCTCTTGCTCAACTCCCCCTGCAGGTTATTTCTATCTAGCAGAGGTCATCAGTATTTCTGTATCAGCGCAGGAGGAACCCATCTGCATTGTGGTCAGGGCTACCAAAACTACTCAAAATAAGCTTGATGCTCTGAAAGTAGCCTGTGAACAGTGTCACTCAGTGCCCCATCTCCCTCCTCAATTGCCAGACAGCTGTGACAAGAGTCAGATGCTCAGGAAAGGACTGAAACCACCCAGCAGGCCATGCCAAAAACGGTTCCCAAGGGGCACAGCTGCACTTAATACCAGGGAGAAGCAGCCAAAAACTCCCATTGTGGAAGGTGAAAGGATCACAAGGTGGTCCTCATGGCGTGTTTGCTTCTAAGGGGTCATGTTTGCCCACAAAAGGTGGGTAGCATGCCTCTACCATACAAACTCAAAGGCAAGAAAGCAAGTCTGAAACGCCAAATGACTCAGAACATTAATTTTCCTGGAATGTGAGGTCCGGGGCCTGGAGGCAGAGTCCCTCCCAGCCCCTGGGGAGGAGGGCCAGAGAGGAGCCACATGCAGGTGGGCAAGGGTGCATTTGTATCAGTGCTTTTAAACAGGGGGAAAGCATTTTAGGATGTTTACATTTCTGGATGAAGTACAAACTGCACATGAGGGCAGGTGATACATGCATATATGTACACAGGGGAGGTGGTTTGGGAATGGTTTTCCCTTTCATCTCTCCATTAGACAGAAGAAAGGTACTGAAATATAGGAACATTCCTGAAGAATGGTTCTAGACATGAAAGTACAATTCTTTTACAAAAGGGAGAAACAAAAATATGAAATTCAGATATCCCAAGGTGCACTGTACATCAGAGAGTTAAAAACAGACATGTCTTCATAACCAGCTGATCCCTCCCTCCCTGCTTTGCTCAAGCCTCCTGCAGCAACCTGACTGTGAGCTGTCAAAGCCAAGATGCTGTTTGAACAGAGGAAGGTTTCCTCCCAGCTGCAGGGATTCTGGCACTCATTCTACAAATTTAAGAAAAATAATAACACAAGGGGGGAAAAAAGACATCGGATCGCTTTTCATGGGCAAGAGAAGAAAGGGGATTTGCTTTTAAAAAAACCTGGTGGGTGTTGCCTTTTTCTCTGCAGCTCAGTTTCTGGCTTCGCTGCAGTGGCAAAACACTGCATATAAAAAAAACATGGTTCAGTTTGCCACGCGCGCGCGCACACACACACGCGCACAGAGCTATATATACGGGTACACACAGCCCGGGCTGCAGCAGAACTGCAGAGAGCAGGCACTCTGGAAAACATAGATCATATGATCTTCCTTCCCCCTCCTTCTACTCCTCCTCTTCCCCCTCCCCTCTCAACTCCAACACAAGTTGTAAACAAGCTTGTAGCTAGAATCAGATTGTAACTCCTCCATTCCCTGACTCCAGCAGTACAATCCAGAAATCTGAGGTGCAGGGCATTAATAAGAATTTCTTATTAAAAAGAAAAAAAAAAGTGAAATATCAATTACATGGGAAAGCAGCAAACTACTGACCTATCCTTATTCCCTTCTATGAAGCCTCCAATGGGGAATGATGGGATAACTGGTACAGAGATTACAAAGAGCAATGTGACAAAGTTGGGGAGGGGAATGAAGAGAAATACAACATGGGATGAGAAAATGGAATACACTGGAGTTTGGGGGAAGAGGGAAGGTGTTTGGACATGTCACAGCATCAAAAGAAGGGAACCCTGACATCCCTTTGCTCCCTGGGCAGAAGGCTGTGCTTTACATTCCCAAAAGAGAGTTTTTGGCTCCCCCAGAGTTCCAAGGCACAGGGCAAGGAAAGGCAGCAGTAAGAATAAGGGCTGCTCTGTCCAAGGAAACATTACGCCATGCCTCAGCCCACCTTCTTGGCAAGTGACTTTACAAGAGAAGGACCTCAATGCGTTTGTTGAAAGGAGAATGGGATAAACATCAGTATTCTGGCCAAAAGGGGATGGCGCCTCACAGACTACAAATACATTTTCCAACCTCTACCAACGATTAAATTAGGCTTGGCTACTTAGAAGGCTGAAGCAGTCCAAGAACTGACCCACACTATATGGCAACTGGTGCTCAACAAGTGCACAAGGTTACACTTTGACAGCAGAACTTAGAGTCAAGAACAAAGTCACCCTTTCCCACCACCACCAGAGAGGGGAAGCTGCTTATATTCACACATGCCCTATAAGCACACGGATTAGGCATGAGGATCAGGCACGCAGGAACATATTTCAACTTCTTGGACACCAGGTACAATCTGTCAGGACCATCCTAGCGGGCCCCGCTTTGCAACTGCAAGGACGAACCCATAAAAGCAGCCCCCTTTGCTTAGCAATGTGCAGTGCAACTGCATGTGTAATGTAGTTGTACCCACGCATTGTGTATATACACACACACAGTTACAAACAGAAAAGCAAAGACAGGGCCCCATATGGGTTGGCCCGGAGGCTGTTCTACTAGACTGCTAGCTAACATAGTAATATTCTCCAGATACCTAATCCTTTTAATCTCAAAGCATTTTACAGACTGTTTAGGCACAGAACAATCAATTCTTCAGAGGCAGCTGCATTTTAATAAGAGAAGTGTCTGTAAACGGTGCACAGCAATGCTGCAAAAAGATTTTTTTTTTTTCCTTTTTGCAACATAGCAACCAAAGCAAAAGCAGAAAAGGTACTCAAAAGAACAGAAGGTTTCGGACAAGGAAATGAAGGCATGGCGGTAATTTTCAAGGGACAAAGATCACCTGCATTTGGCTACAATCAATAAATCTGAAACATGGCCCCTTTCCGTGTGTGAATTGCAGAAGGGAAGCAGTAGGACAACAAGACAAGACCATCAACTTGTTTTCTATTTTAAAAGACTGCATGTAGCACTAAAAATAAAGTAGGGTCCTCTTGGTGCTGACTCAGAAAAGCAGGAGCCATTCCAAGTTCAGAAGAATCAGGGTTCCCTGTTGAACTCGTAATGAATTTGAAAACATTTGTATCTAGAAAGCATCTCAACAGAATATTTCAGTGGTAGCAAAAACCAGTCAGAATAGATTGGCACACAGTTTGTATCCCTCAGCTGCCAGTCCAGAAATAGATTTCGTTTTGGTTTGTGGCTCTTTGTTTTTGTTTATTGTTGTTGGAATGAGGCACAAAAGGTTACCCATTAAGAATGAGATGCTCAGTTGCAGAGATACAGTATAAGCTATTACCGAATATTAAAGAAAAAAAGACAAGTAAAACTTACTTTGGGGGCCATCCTTTCCACTTCACCAGGTATTCTACTTTACCCTAAGGGCAGAAAAAGGAAGAAGAAAACAGGTGACCTCCGCAATCAAATAAGGGCTACAGTAAGAGATGCAACCAATCAACATGACTAAACTCCGCAACTGAAAAGTTCATTTCCCATCACTTTGTTTTCAAAACAAAGCCACTTCCTCATTCAACTACACTTGCTATACCTTTTTCCCCAGAAAATGGGCACGCAGGGGTATTTAAGCCTGCTTGAACTACTGTCAGCTTGGGATCATACCTTTGCAGAAGCCTAGCAGGCAGAACCCCAAAGGCCAACCGGAGAGCAAAACTGCAACCATTCCTGCATTTACAGGCAATCCTACAAGAAGTCAGCACGCATAAACGCGAGAGGGAGATGTATGCCAGGAGCAAGTGTCAGAGGAATTTTTTTTTAAGCAGAGAGAAGAAATGCAATATTTCAGAACCCATAAAGCATCTCTTTGGCATGTTCCCTGCCAGTTGCTCCACGTTTTACTCAAACACTGGTCCATCTATCACAGTCACTCAACCTTTTGACCCAAGCAAACAGCAGCTCACAACTGAAGTTCAGAGTTATCCATTTATTTGTTCACTCTAAGTAGAAGATTTAAAAAGCAAAAAAAGCAATAAAAAAGAAAAAAAAAAAGCAGTGATTGGAAACCATGTTCAAGGGCTCCTGAGGAGTGTGCACAACTATTAAAATCTTTAATATACTGAGAGGCTTGTTAAGCACTTCCCAAAGCATGGCAGAGGCCTTCATGCGTGCAGGATGACCACCCCTCGAAGTGCCACTATTGCAGCTGCAGACACCTTTACACGACAGAACAGCGAGCAAAGCGCTCGGGTGCTCGAGACAGAGAACCAGTTTCATTTTCCTCATGGGGGGCTCATCAGCTTCCCAATGTTTGAAAACACTGCCCTGTAGGGAACTTTCCACCAGAGGATCTCTACACGCTGCGTGCTTATGGGTTAATCCTTGTAACACCCTGTGGGGATGGAGAGCGTTTTCACAGCTGGGGAAACTGAGTCACTAAGCTGGCCGCCAAACCTTTCCAAACCCGCTCTTGATTCGGGGTGTCCGGTTTGTTGTCACCAGCACTGATTTTGCAGAAACCGGCCCCCCCCCCCCAAAGAACACCCAACACGCGACAACG